ACGACTATAGCCAAGAAAAATACACGGAAGAGACCTAGGATTTAACTTATGTTTAGCATATGGACGTAACCAAGGATAACACAAACAACCAAAGACACGAAGTTGATCATAAACTCGAGGAGATTGAAATAAAAGTTCATATGGACAATGATTTTGAAGACGAGGGGTAGGAAGACGATTGATGACATAGACAGCCGTTTCGAAGGCATTGGTCCAAAACTTTTGAGGGACACCGGAGTGAAAGAGAAGTGCACGGCCAGTCTCAACCACATGGCGATGTTTACATTCCGCACACCCATTTTGTTCGGGAGTGTGAGGACACGAAACACGCTGTGTAATTCCATGGGTGCGAAGATAACCTGTAAGTGCCTGAAACTCACCACCCCAATCAGCTTGGAATTGTCGAATAGAACAGCCAAAATATTTCTCTACTAGTAATTGAAACTGATGAAAGACAGGAAGGACATCAGATTTGCGTTGAAGAAAGTAAATCCAAGTGTATTTGCTATAATGATCAAAGAAAAGAATGTAATATTGAAACCCATCATTAGAAATAACAGGGGCCGGACCCCAAACGTCTGAACAAATTAAATCTAATGGCCCACGGGCCTGATATTGAGACTCGGAAAATGGAAGCCTATGCATTTTACTGGAAACATAGGCTTGGCACAAAGTAGAACTAACAGGACCAGACGACACCAAGTGACCAGTAGACGCCAAACGGTGGACAGTGGACGATGAAGCATGTCCAAGACGTGCATGCCACGTGGTGAGGGAAGTAGAGTGACTCTGAGCAGCTGACAATGGTAGAGACGATGGAAGAGGATAAAGACCATCTTTACTCAGCCCGCGGTACAGTATTTCCTGCGTTGCCAAATCCTTAACCAAGAAACAATCAGGCAAGAATTCAACAGAAACACGATTAGTAGTGACAAAGGAACTAACAGAAATCAAATTTTGTTGAGCAGTGGGTACATGAAGAACATCTTGAAGAGAAAAAGTATGACCAGCAATAGAGACATTAGATTGTCCAATATGAGAGATGGGAAGAGTGGAACCATTACCTAAGGTGACCTCTTCGGGACCTTGATACTCAGAATGAATATCAAGGTCATCAAGCCGAGCGGAGAGATGGTGCGTTGTGCCATTATCCATGAGCCATGGTTGAGAGGTGGAGGTGGTAGCAAGGTGAGAAGAGGGACGAGGAGAAGTCCGAGAAGAGGCATTCTTTGGAGAAAGACATACACGAGACACATGCCCAGATCCACCACAATTATAACAGGTGAG